AATGCAATCATGTATACTTTAGCCTACAGATTGCACACATTAAACAACCTACAGTTTATGCACATTCAAACTGCCCATTTCATGTTATAAGGGAAAGAACAAAGTGTGTCCACAGGAATATCATCCAATGGAGGTTGTTATTACAACAGCGCCCTCTTTCATCTATGCACAGGTCTAATATGCCTAACATTAACGATGGTGACAAATGGGAAAAAAGGATGACGCAGGCTTCAAGAAAACACCATGATGAACAAAATGTCACCAAATTTCAAGGAGGAAACCGTCTTGACAAAGATGACACTGAAATGAAACAGAGAACCTGAAATTAGCAAGGATGGCACTGCAAAGAACTCAGTGGAGTCTCCGATGAATTTGCCTTACCTTGATATGCCGTCGTCTCTGTCTCTGGAGTAGCTATTACCAAATCGATGGTTATCATACTGATGAGGGCGTCCGTAGGTGCTGCCGCTGTCTCCAGAGCCATATCTAGCAAGAACCAATGAATAATGACAATGTCACTTCATCCTGGTAATGCGCAGTGAGCCAGGTAGGTATTCCAACAGCACATACCCCAACTGAAGTACATCTGAGGTCATTCAGGAACACTGTATGAACCTGAGCTCTGCCCTATCGGTACGAACACAGGCCAACTCTCGAATGAACTTGCCTTTCTGAAATACTGAACTGGCTCATTGTTCCATTGCTACAAGGTTGTTGGTTTTGGGTCTCTTGACACTCATCATTTTGTATTCAAACTGGAACCGGAGGCTTCCAAGAATTCCAAGCTTGTATACTCACCAACACTTACTGTAGAGTGTCTCTGCGAGATATCAACCCATGGATGTACTCCTCTGTATACTCACACTTGAATGCAAAGGATGCAATACATGTACTGATCTGGAGTCCAATCAAAACCTTTTGGAATAGCCCCTGAACTGCAGCAATGGTTCTTTGGGATAAGGACTGTTTTCTCATCGTGCATGGGTTTGAGGTTCCAGTTTAGGGTTTAAAGAATGCACTGTATTGGAATTTGGTTAATACAAAAGGGATCCCAGCAAACGTGCCAACACTGTCTGTATTCAATGAATGGCAGTGTGTGGAAATGCAATCAGGATGAAAAAATGAGGGCTGTGAATGAGCTGTGACAGACCACAGCAGGAGGACCGTCAATGAGCTGTGACAGACCACAGCAGGAGGACC